TAATTTGTATATACTTTTATTAATTTTAAAAAATAATATAGTTATAACATTATGTAACATTATAAATTTATAACGTAATATATTAGTATATAATTATTTTTTTCACTTAAAATCCACTTATAATATTATATACATTTATTCATTCAATGACATGTTACACTCATTTAATATCACATAATGATTATAAATCTATAATTTTATGTGACATTATAACTATAATATTGTTAATTAATTTTAATTAATATTTTCTATATTTTTAAAATAATAAAGAACTAAGCTTATAACTACAATACTATATAACATATTAATGTCACATAATGATTATAAATCTATAATTTTATGTGATATTATAACTATAATATTGTTAATTAATTTTAATTAATATTTTCTATATTTTTAAAATAATAAAGAACAAAGCTTATAACTACAATACTATATAACATATTACTAACAAATAATGTTTAAAACTTTAAGATGTGATGGGAAAGAAAAAAACACACTTTAGGATGTGATAATACTTCATGTACGCTAGTTTTAGTTGACTGATTATGGGAAAATACATTGTGAGTTACTTTTTCAATTAATCTTAATCAAGTACATAAACCATGCATTTTTTTTCCATAACAAAATTCAAAAAAAAAAAAAAAAGAAAAAAAAAGGGGAGAAACCATCGCACTTAACGGTTCAAGATATTTCCATGAGATGAGAGTTAGAAACGGTGTTAGTGTGGTGTTAGGGGAGGGAGATAAATGTTATGAAAAGCTAAAGTAGAGGGAGGGCTATAGTATGGCTCGGAAAAGTAGAGGGAGGGCTATAGTATGGCTCGGAAAAGTAGAGGGAGGACTTTGAACGGCATGTAAGTATAGGGAGGACAATAAATGAAAATTGAAAGTAGAGGGACTATAGTTGGCTTTACCCCAAAAATCAACAAAGTTGGCGAAAACCCAAACTTTAGTTCTATTTCTTGAAAGATATTGCGCGAATAATAAAACAAAACTCATAACTAGAAATTGAAGCAATCTCTGGCCAGTAATCTCTTGGACTCCTTTCTTCTTCTTCTTCTTCTCTTTTTTTTTTTCGATTCCCTCAAAAAATTCCAGCAAAAACCCACGAAATTTTCGCTAAAAAATTCAACGATAATAATGTGGGACGAGATAAGTGATGGATTTGGGAAGAAGGGGGAGGAATCCACCAAACCTTAAATCCATCGATCAATCTCAAAATGGTCCCTCTAAAACCCTAACCTTAATTAGGCACCCCCAAGGAATCTCACGAGCTCACGAATAGATCGAGAACAGACTTGGGTAGTGGGTTTTGTGGAAGGGAAGAGCTAGGGTAGAGAGGAAAGAGGCTTGACCCAACAAAGGAGATCCAGGGGGAAGAAGAAAGAGGGACAGTGAAGTGATAAAGAAGTCGTGGATGAAAGAGAAGGAGATCACTTATACCGGATCTGGAGAAGAAAAAGGGAAGAAAAGCTTGCCAAGACTGGAAAATGGAGGGAGAAGGGGAAGGACGGAAGGAAGGAAGAAGAGGGTGAACAGAAGAAGAGAGGAGAAATTGCGGGAAAAGATGAAGGGATGGACTCCTTTTTTTAATTTCAAATATTTTATTAATAACTAAACATTTAAGATTAATTAATTAATATTTATTGTAACCTCTCATAAAATAATAGACACATCAGCTTTTGAAATTTCTACCTCACACTTAAAACTTTAAAAATTAAATTAAGTAATGAAAAATTTTATCACGTCATTATTTAACTAATAAAAGATAAAACATGTTCAAAAAAAAAAACTAATAAAAGATAAAAAAATAATAAAAGGATAAAATTAGTATCAAAAATTGAAATTTTAAGATATTTTTTTGGTATTTTTTAAAGTTTAAAAATGAATTTAGTATAATTTTTAAAAGTTGAGAGATCAAACTAGTATTTTAATCATAATTATAATACCTTTACAATTATTATATATCATTATATGATTGATTATTTTATTTAAATAATCACATGATATTATATATATTTATTCATTTAATATTATATTATCATTATAAATTTATAATTTTATAGGATATCACAATTAATATTTTTATTAAAAATTTTAATTTAAGATCAAGTTTATAAATTTAAACTTATAATTAATCATATGAGGTAGTAAGCTAAAAGTAATTATAATTTATAATAATATCATATGGGCGGATGCGTGTCGATATTATAATAAAATTAAATAAATAACTGCATATCTATGTACCCTTCCTACTTTTTAAGTAAAAAAATTTAATAAAAATGTTCACATTGTACTGAGAGATTTGGAGATTTTGGAAACTCTCTTGTTATAATAATTTAAAACTAACGGGTTAATAATTTTATTTAATTTAATAAATAAAAAATATTCAAATTAATAATAATTATTAATTATTAAATTAAATAAAACCACTAACAATCAGTTTTAATCCATATATGAAACAGCCCTTGGTGTCAATAAAATATTTTTGCTTATCTT